GAGGTATTTCCCCCAGGGAACGATGGGCAATCGCGCTGTGCACACTTGAGGGACAGGGGGCTGGGGAGGGGGGCGGGGGCGGCATTAATCCAGCCCTGCTAACAGGTGCGCCTCTGACAAAGAAAGGCCATCCCAAGGGAACAGAGCTCCCAGGTAAAACACAGCCTAATGACTGTCATTTCCAAACCTGGGAGAGACTTATCTGCAAACATCACTCCCCCATCCAGACTTAAGCTGAAAAAAGTGGCTTGGAGAGAGAGACTAATTATATCCCTCCAAGCATTTGGACTTTGATCATAATTACAGTGCCTTTCCTGGCTTACATTAGTGGCTTTCAACTACACCTAGGTGGACACTTCTTGAAAGGTGGAAACCCTGTCTCTTTTAGGTGGCTAGATTATTTTATGACTCAAAACAACCTTTTTTTTTTTTTTACAGTATCTGTATCTACTATCCTGACACAAGGAACTATTTAGCATGTGCCTAACCTCAAGAACAAGTAGCCCACGGACTTCAGTAAGTAGTCGCTTCAAATAAGTGTGGGGCTTGTCTCATATCTGGGTCAGAGACCTTATTAGCTTTTGTATCTCACTGGTGACATTTCCTACCAAACAGGAGCAGAACAGCTGCTTTCTTTCATGGTTTGAGTTCATGGGGTTTGGATGAGGCTTTTTATTAGGAGGAAAAAGACGGCCCAGTTTATCCACCCGCCCCGTCTGCCAGGGGCCGTTTTTCCAGACGATGTCAGACTTGCATGCAACTTATTCGCTATTGCAGAGGGGTTTTGTCCAATTTGCTGTTGTATTGGTCCAGGGGTCTTTTCTTTTAGCATGGCATGGGCTTAGAGCAAGATAAATTCACTTATCAAGTAGTTTTCATGTTCTGCACTAACCCAGCTCCTCCCCACTGAGGTGGGCCATGGGGCTATATGAATATATAGACTTTAAAGGTTTGAGACAGGTATTTGCACACACTTGGTTGTAAGACCCTGAGCTAGGAGGACAGACAGCCAAATGGTCCAGAAGCTAGACCTCTGTCTCCTTTTGGCTTTACCACTGACCTCCTCTGTGACAGCGCACATCACTTCACTGATAGGGCATCCCCCATCAATGGGTTTGAATGTTGTGGACAAATAGTACTTTGTATTAATTATACTAATGCATTATTACTAATGACCTCTTAGCACAGGGGCCAGTTATGGGCAACTGATAGGATCACAGGAAAGTTGGGCTGAAAGGGCTGTCAGGTCACACCCAGCTCAGCCCTAGCTCAGGGCAGGATCACCCCTGACTAAACACGGGGCTGTCCAACCCCCTCTTGAAAGTTTCCAAGGATGGAGATTACATCACCTCTGCAGGCATCGTGATTGACTACCCTCATTCAACAACTTTGTCCTCATCTCCAACCTACAGTCTGGCAGATGACAGGACAAGGAGCAATGGGCTCATGTTGCAACGAGGGAAGTTGAGGTTGAATATTAGGAAAAAAACTTCCTCACGAGGAGGGTGGTGAAGCACCGGACCAGGCTACCCACAGAGGTGGTGGGCTCTCCATCCTTGCAGGTCTGAAGACCCAAAGCCTTATCTGGGATGATGTAGTTGGGGCTGGTCCTGCTTGGAGCAGGGGGTTGGATTAAATGTGACCCCCCTGAGGTCCCTTCAACCCTTGTTTTCCATAATTTCCTCTGTTGCAGCTCCTAGTCCTTTCCCCTGCGGCCACAGAGACAAGCCCATCCCCATTCTCTCTATAATTGCTCATTGAAAGCATCCCATTATAGTATTTGCTTTCCAGCCTCCCCCAGGTGAAAGGTTTGGGAAGGGGGCGAGGGGTGAATCTTGCTGTCCCACGTCCCTTGGCATGTGATGGCAATGGCAAACCTACAGAGTATAAATCCTGCCTGCTGCCCACGGTAGCATGTCTCATAGGAGAGTCATACCCGGCACTGCAGTGTCAGCGGGGAACATCGCCTCTCCTGGAGGGTGATTCAAAAGGGAACGTGTCAGCACGTCGCTGAAGCATCGTAGAGGAATGAGGGGGTGGCCTGCTCGACTATATTATGCATCGTGCCAGAAGGGGCTGTCATTTCAGCCGTGCCAATCACCATTTATTCCTGATTTTAAAAAGTGCCCACGAGGCAGGGCAGGGCAAAGCTGGGAATTTATCAGGAATTCTGACACATCCTTTTCTCCAAATGGGAGAGAAAAGCCAGCGCGCTGACCGGTCCTATGAGACGTCTGCTGCTAAACCTTTCGCTTGGGATACGGTGAAGTGACTTCACTGGAGGGCTTGGCTCTGAAACGCTTTGAGTCAGCATTCATTATTTTGACTCTTAGATCAATGGGAAATATGGATGTTGAAATCAAGGCCTTTGCCCTTACGCAAGGAGTTTGACCGTAGCAAATTGAATGTTTCAATTGCTCGCATCAAAAATTATCTATATGTACAATCCTAGAATCACAGACAGCGAGGGCTGGGCGGGACCTCAGGGGGTCACATCTAGTCCAACCCCCTGCTCCAAGCAGGACCAGCCCCGACTCCATCATCCCAGCCACGGATTTGTCTACCTAGGTCTTCAAAACCTCCAAGGATGGAGATTGCACCACCTCCCTGAAGCCTGTTCCAGTGCTTCACCACCCTCCTCGTGAGAAAGTTTCTCCTAATATCCAACCTCAGCTTCCCGTGCTGCAGCTTGAACCCATTGCTCCTTCTGCCATCTGCCCCCACTGAGACCAGCCCAGCTCCATCCTCTTTGCAGCCCCCCTGCAGGGAGGTGAAGCTGCTATTCAGTCCCCCTTGGTCTTCCCTTCTGCAGCTAAATCAGCCCATTTCCCTCCGTCTCTCCTCACCAGTCCTGTCCCCCAGCCCCATAACCATTTTCATTGCCCTCCGCTGGACTCTCCCCAATGTGTCCACATCCTTTCTGCAGTGGGGCCCACAGCTGGACACAGGACTCCAGATGTGGCCTCCCCAGTGCTGAATAGAGGGCAATAATCATTCCCCTCCATCTGCTGGCAGCACTGCTACTAATAATCCATCCATTCTCCTGAAACCCATGGATTTTGATGAATCGATATTTTCCACCGTGAAAAACCCCGGACTAGTAGACATAAATCCAAAAGTTCCCCCTGGTCCTTTTAGGTCTTCAGGTCATAGCACTGGCAGGGGAATCCAGTTCCCTGCATTCGCTCTGCAGAGCCTGGCCCCGCTGGGACAAACCGGAGAAGTAGGCTATAAAACACAGGCCTCTGGTTATAACTGGACCGCTTCACTTACCAAACCATGTAAACACCCCCCTAGGAGACAGCAGTAATCCAAGCTGACTCTGAATCAGGGACCTGCTCTCGGAGGCTGCTATAAATGTTGTCAGCCTGCAAACACTTGAATATCCATCTGAAAAAAATGAATCAGTCTTGCTGTAAAGCACCTGTGTTGGGCTACGAGGTGCTGACTTGCTCGTTCAGAGACACACACAGGCTGTAAAGCCACAACAGGCCGTTAGCAACATCTGCTTGGACTTGGTGCAGAACGCACGCCGGAAAACGTCACCCCTCATCCCTACGTCTAGCCCATGCCATTTGGCCAAGTACAGCGTTCACCCTCAAAAGGCATCCAGTCCTGACTTCAAGGTTTTGAACGATGGAGAATCCACCCGGGCTCTTACAAAGCTGGTCCACAAGTTCCTTCTCCTCGCCGCTAAATCCTGGATCCTAATTACTACCCAGCATCGGTCTAGGTTCACTCTCCAGCCACTGAATATTATTCTGCTTTTCATAGATTCATAGATGCGAGGGGCTGGAAGGGACCGTGCGAGATCCTCTGGTCCAGCCCCCCTGCACTTGGGCAGGAGAGACGTGTCCGGAGACCTCTGCTACCATTGGCATCCCGTGCTGCACGGAGGTATTTGCATCCCTGCTTCGGAGCGTGCCCGTGGAAATCGGTCAAGCTGCTGGGATTTAGCGGCGATCGCAGTTTGGCTGAGTTTGTCCCCACGGCAAGCCAGCGTCTGTTGTGGAAGGTTTCGCAGGAGAAACCAATACCCCCTGCTCCGTTCCACATTCCTGCAGCGAGGCCTTGCAGCCAAGGACTGCTTGCTATTTCCCAGCTCTCCTTCCTCCCTCTCCCCCCTCGGCCAGCTTTCCACACTGCCCAAAAGGACTGGGCGTGAACCGGGTCCATCGCCGTATGAGACAAAAAAAAAATCACACTCGGGAACTAGAGACCACAAAGCTGCCTAATCCCCTTGGGGTTTCAGGACAGTAACCCAGGACCCTCCTAGCCCTGGCGGGATGAGCACGCCCTTAACCCCTCGACACCTTCCTTGCTCTCTGCATGCAGCGTGGCGCTGTCCAGAAAGGACTCTCCACAAATGACCGCGCGAACAGGACTTTGCCTCTCCTCACTTTATGACTGGAAAAAATACCATCTGCGTGTTTAAATATAGTCGCTCCCGTTGCAAGCAGCAAACAAACAAGCTGATCCTCCACGGCGTGCTCCTATCTGCTGGAAAGCCGGCTTCGCAAAGCTAAAAATACAAGCAAGCCGGGATATTTCCTGCCGACCAGCGCAAGGTGCTCGTCGAAAACAACCATATCTCAGGAAAGAAAGCAGGAGGTGGTCAAGACTGACCGGTGCGCGTGGTTGTAAAATCCCAAATCTCAAGGCACAACAGATGCTCGTGTTTTGTCCAGGCACCTCATCACTTAAACCCCCCGCAAAACCCCATAAAAAGTTAAAAGGCTTTTCTGCTACCTCTTGAAAGACAAACTAACAGCCTAGCCTTATGGGCCGGTTTCACATTATTTATCAGACACCTTTTCCGTTGCCAAAGAGAAAACCCCGGGATAGCAAACGGATGCCTGGCATGGAGCAATAACCTGTTAGAAAGCCAAAAATAATAATCGGCTCTGCTGAGCGTGAAGCCAGCGGCACATTTTTTCCCCCGCTCGCAGCCCAGCTGCTCAAAAAACTAATACTGACGCTGGGATCACGCGGGGACTCACCGCTGGATGCAGGGATCCGGGTAGTACTGCAACGTGGGGTAAGGCGCGGGTTCGAAATTCATATCCGTCCACCCCTCTTCGGGTAGAAACCAAACCAAACCAATAAAAATGGATAGCGCCAGCCGGCTCCAGGCAATAGGGCAAGTGGTACAGGAGATTGAACTTTAGAGACTTATTTTACACTTGCAAATAGGCGGGGTCTTCCCGGGGCCTGGCCAATGGGATTAATCCAGTGACCCGAGCATCACGAGCAGTCACTCCTTGCCATCTGGGCATCTTCTGCGGGGATGTTTCCCCCTCCTCCTCTCCACATCCTTCATCCCCGTTGGCGTGCACTGCACTCGCTCGCCGTCGGGAGCTCATCTGGGGTCTCGCTGAGCTTCTCATCCGCCTGGCCATTGGTTGCCTTCCCTGGATGACCTCAGAGCTTAATTTTGGCAGCCCCGAGACTCTGCAAAGTGCCATTCCTGTTGGTCATCCTCGCCTCCAGATGGCTGGAGTTTCCCCACGCTGGGTGCTGTGCCCGGCCTGGAGCTGGGCTGCCTCCGAGTGCTTTCACGGCTCCTTCTGTGGCTAACGTCTTAGCAGAAGGCCAAGGGGGATTTTCTCCAGCATCTCACTGCACCAAAGGGCCAAGGGGGATTTTTGCGAGCGAAAGAAACCGCCTGTTGTGGTCACGGCTTCGAGAGCCGAATAACAAAGCACGGGAAATTCCTAATGAACTAAGTTTAACTATGAACCCTTGCCCTTTTGCATCCTCCCCAATATAATAAAGAACAAAAAAAATAACCATAATGTTGATTCTCTCTCTGATTCTTGCTATGCTTATTTTTTAGGTTTTGGGGTTTTTTTTTCCAAAAGATGATGCAACTGCACACGTGCCTATCTATTTTAAATTCTTCCCCAATTTTTATCATTTTCACGTATTTTAATTTTTCACAGGGAGACAGGGAGGAAAATCCAGCTGTTTACTGCCCGGGGCTGGTAAAGAAGTGGCAGGAAAACAAAAGCCGCGTGCATGGGAGAGCCTCGAGAAGGGGAACAAATAAGCCGGTTGTGTGTTCGGCAGCAAACAGGTTTTTAAGGAGGCATTTTCCACTACGCAGAGCAGCAGGAGAAAAACAACCTGCTGCCTGCTCGCTGTGTCACCTCCCGTCCCCGCTCGAATAGGAGGGGCTGTAAACCTATCCCCGTTTTGTGGTTTTGGAGAATGAATGAAATATGAATCAGGCGCTAAATTAAAATGGATTCCAGCAGGAAAAAATAGCGGCGATGTATCCGTGCTCCAACTGGGTTGCATGGTCCCGCAGAAGAGGGGAGAGGCCGAGAGCTCACCTCCCCGGCGTGCACCTGCAAGGGGCCGGCGCCCGCACCCATGCCAAGGCCGCGCGTCGAAGCCGGGAGTTGTGTTTGGAGGCAGTGAGACCGCCGGTTCGCCTCGTTCCTTGGAGGAAATTTTGCTTGGAAGTGTCATGTGGAAACATTTCCCCCGCTGTCGGTGCCAGGGTGGCAGGGCGGCTATTTAAAACTTGACATTCTCCACCCACGCGCAGCCCGAGAGCTCCTAACATCTGTGAATTGTGAATCCCGGAAAATGCACAGCCCTGATCCGCGGCCAAGCCTGGAGCAGCTTACGTTCCAGTATGTGAAATATGTTGAGAAAGGAGGGTTTGGAAATGAAGGACGGATCCATGGGGGGCTCTCTCCTTGCTGCTTTCCCGAACCTGTTGCGAGGTTATATCCCGGGAACTTTTGAGCCCACGCTTTCCTTATGGCCTCCCTGCTGCAGGCAAATGTGTGTAGCCTGCGGGGAGTTTGCACGCCCGCCTCCGTAGATGCGTTAAGTACCGCCAATGAATTGGCAATCAGTTTGCTGATGTTAAAAAACAAGTGGAGGTGAACCTGAGAAGCGAGGATGGGCCAGGTTTCTATTCTTCGCAGGTTGTGCTGCTACTCCTATCGCCAGGGCATCACTCATCTATCATTTGAAACAGCCTGGCTCAGACGGCGAGGATCAGAGTAAGGTTTAAGGGTCAAGTGGAAGATGGATCCAAGGGCAAGGGGCTGAGGTCAGCTTACACGGCATCTGCATCTTGAGAGCTCTTACAAAAGTTTCATGTTTCCTAGCCTACCTGGTGGAAACCTCATCCCTCAGCCCCACGCCGTCACGGCTCCCAGCCATCACCACCTGGAAAGCGGAAGAGGGAAAAGGACCCCAGGACTCGAAACTTTAGGGGCCAGTTTTGAGCAGAGGATTTCTATGCGGTCCATGCCGGCGTCTAGTCTAGGGCAAAAGGATGCCTCCCGCTCGCACCATGCTTTCTGCCCACTGGAGCCCAAAACGCTTTGTGAGGTTTGGCACGTGCACGGCTAAGAGCATACTACGGGGGCAAGTCACTCATTAATCGCCCCCCTTATGTACCTGGTCCACGGAGGATGCGGGTTGGGGAGCCTGGTACTTTTGCTCCTGCTTTTCACTCGGACGGCGCCTCGCAGCCCGTGTGAAGTCTGATGCCGTGAGCTGCAATTCACACGGGAGCCCATTGCCGCCACTTCAAAATACCAATAAACAAGTGCTCCGGGATCTTTAACAGGCTGCCAAGGCCTGGAGAAGTCAGCCACTAATGACTTCACCCCTGTTCAACTAAAGCTAAAGACTCAAAGAGGCCTCCCGCGGTGGGTCAGCGGCTCCACGTCCCTCCTGGCAGACCCTCCAAGAAATTCAAGGTGAAGTTCGTTTGAGATCGGTGCCATTTTTCCAACCCTTCCCCCCCAACCCTGCAAAATATATCAGGTCACATAGACTTTGGATCAGCTCAGCTGGTTGCCTTTGGATGCTTCTACATCCTTCCTGGCTGCAACATGAAACGGAGATCCGAGCGATCCTACCTGAAGCACCTGCTCTTTGGTTTTCCCCTGGTCTTGCAGCCAACGCTTCGCCGTGCATTGCTAAACACAGCACAGCACTGCGCGGGGAATGCAGGCCGCGGCTGTCCGGTCTCAGACATGCAATCCCTTCCCCCCGTTCAGCCTTATCGGGTGAACCAGATAGGACCCCCTCTCCCCTCCCCTCTCCCCAGCCGGTTACGGGAGCTGCGCTAAGCTGCTCGCAGCTGGAAGTCCCTCCTCACATGTCAGAGGCTACAGTGGAAACCCAAGCCAAAGTGTGTGCAAGCGCGCGTGTGGGTTGCCAGCGCCCGGTCACGCATAGCTGGGAGGATCTCAAGGCTGAACATGATCCAGCCAGCACACTTGTCCTGCCCTGAAGAAAATCTGTTGGGGTTTGAGGGGGGGGAAAGAAGGGAAAAGTCTCACATTTAAGAGCAAAGAATTCAGAGAGTCGAGCCAGTCGCAGCTTTCCCGGCTGGAAAACATCACCGTTGCACGCCGGAAGTAACCGGCCGTGTCTACGGGGTGAGATTTGCACCGTAGCGTTAAGATCTGTGCAAGGTTACTAGAGCTTGTGACCTCCCAGCTGGGCACGCCAGCTCCCGGGACATTGTCGACCGTCTGGTAAGGGGGTGGCATGCACCCGGGCACCGAACGCACGTGCCACCCCAAAGCCAGAGGGAAGCCAGGCATTAACGGGTCTGTCTGCCCAGTGGATTTACAGTCGGAGTCTCTGGTGTGCACATTAATCAGGAAACAGGAGGGCATGTGCAGGAGGCATGTGTGTAGGTGGGTAAGAATGCAGGGTGTCGCTCCGTCATTGTTTTCCAGTCTGGGAAAGAGAGACAGCTGGGGCCTCCCCCTTACACACACACACACACACATATATATACATACACACACACACACACACACTTTCACCGCAAAGCTCTTTAAGATATGTCAACTAACTGCGTGGGAAAGGTTTGCAATGCCATGTGCATTGGAAAGCAGCATTTTTGTTGCATCTTGGAGCCGTTACTCCAGTGCATCGGGACTCCTGGCCTCTCTTCCCAATGCCTCCTGATTTCCTGCAACACGCTAGGACCTTCCTGCAGCTCAGGTTTGCTCGAAGAGGGGGTGGTGAGAAAGAAGCCCACTTGCCTTTAAAGTCACCTGTTTGGCCTCTGGATGTGGGGGCTGTTTGGGACCAGTCCCACACACACAACAGCTGGGTGGAGAGTTGTCTTTTTTTAAGCAAAACTGACAATTTTACAGAAAGATTCGTGGGGAAATTTTGGGCTTTTTGTTCCAGCATGTTTATAATCTATCTATCTATCTATCTATCTATATCAATGTCTACATCTATCTATCTATCTATCTGTCTGTCTTTACACACACACATGCTAACACACATATGTGTATATATATATACATGCGTACATATATGTATACATACACACACACACACACAGATAGATAGATTGACCAATTGATATAGATAATGCACAAACATATATATTTATTAAAATTATTTATATAATACATATGTTGCCTTTTTTTGCCAGGACCCAGGTAGCATTGTTCCACCCCGTCAGGTCCTGCGTGAAAGCAAGTGGACAGGCACTCCCGAGGGCTGATGATGTAGCTGGAAATAGCCAAGACTCAGTAGGACGTGGCCAGTACATTCATGTCCCATCCCTGCCTTCTGCCTCGGGGATGGAAAGGGACCCAGCACGTGCTGTCCACAGAAGCTGACAGAGATCGGTGCCATTCAGGGTCTTCATCACAACATGATGGGCTTTTGCCTATTAAAGGTGCAGTTTCCCACCCTTGGGTGTCCCAAGCATGATAGCATGATAGAAAATTCCCAACACAATTAGCATGATACAAAATTCCCAGCACAGATCCACCACCTCTTATTTAGCAGCAATCTACTTTCAAGCCATTGCACGTGAGACTCTGCAATACATGGTTTGCTAATCCTTTCCGTTGCTAGGGTTGGCGGGGGGAGGCAGGTGCGGGGAACTGCACCTTTCAGAGGCTCTTTCTGGAGCCCGTTGGAACCGGCCGTGGTCTTGGTCCCCGAGGCGGGTCTGTGGACTCTCAGGTCTTGTTTTTAGGTATGGGGCAGTAAAGGTTTCTGAGTTAATGGTTTCACATGTCACTACCTCCACCCGTGTGCGCCAAAAAC